ATATATATATATATATATGTTGTACGTTCATGCGCGCACACACATCTCTTATCTGTGCATACAATAGTGCAAGGATTGGCGAGAATCGATTGGTACGGCGAGTGGTGGAGAAGCCAATAAGTAGGTATAATCCGTACAATGTGTATCAGTATATGTATGATGTATATACATACATACGACTACATGTTACCAAGTACGAAGCTGTACGAAACGAAGCCATCAAAAGATGTCGACCCGACGAACTCTACAGGAGTCGTCGTGGTCGTCGACGGTCGACAGGTGTAATTCAGTGCAGAACGTACTTATACGTACTTATTCAGTCACATTCAGTGGCAGGCAGCGGTAGATTGTGAAAGACAACGATCGCCCGGTTAGTGATAACGAGAACGAAAATAAATTCAAGTGAATTATTTACAGTGCAGTTATTTGTGGTGTGTAAAAAAAGCTTTCAGTAGTGTTTTTTTACACCACATAAATTATGTCGAATGTCGACGAGTATTACACAGAGGTTTTGCGACTTGTAAAGCAAGCTGGTTCGGTAAGTCGATCAGTTAAATGATTAGTTGTGCATAGTATCCCTGATTTCTAACAAAAACGTAGTTTGCCGATACAATTTATCGAAGATATTTTGGCTGCAGCGTAGCTGCATTCTGCAATCTTTTTAATCGCCGCGATACTCGCGCGACAATATTCGATCCGCCTGACGAATATATGATAGAATTTAATTTCACCATAGCATAATTTCCATGATTTTAATATATCTATAAAATACACTTATATCATGAAAAATCCATAAATCCACGAGATCGCTTATATGTTATCTGCACGACATAGATTGCATAAAGGCTATTCCTTGACCAACTCCGATTAGCTTAATCAGCACTATTTTATTTAATAATATGAATAAAACCATCAAATTAATTAATAGAAATATATTTATTAATACATATGTCAACGAAATATTAATTGTATGTTAGAGACAAATTGTTTTAAGTGATTCTGCCGATCGAGTTAATCGGAGTTGGTAAAAATGGCTCCAAGTATCATAAGTGTGAAAGAAGTATAAATGGTAGCGCGCATGACAAGTCTTGAAACAAAAAGGGGAATATAGGAGAATACAAATTCGAGAGATAAAAAGACGTCAGAAAACAAACTATACTTTTGTTCCTATCTTAATCACGTTTTTCATAGCAATGGCACACTTGTTTACAAGTAACTTTGATAGTTATCTGACTTTAAAGATGATAAATTAATTACACTACTTACTGAAGTATCCAGTTTTTTCTCGATACTGCCGCACTGTCTGTGTAAAAAATTAAAAGATTTAATTGTGCTTTATATATTTTATCTGCAGATTGTCAGGGAAAAAATTTATCAACGTAAAGATGTACTTACAAAATCATGCAGTATTGACTTGGTTACGGAGTGGGATCAAAAAGTTGAAAAACTTTTAATTGATGGAATATCATCCAGATATCCCAACCACAGGTAAGCAGACAAAAACATAATGCAATATGCGTAAGAAATATTTTATAATAGCAAAAATATCTTGAAAATACTTTTGGAAAAAATTAAATGCAAATTCAATTTGTTTTAACAGCTAAAGCTATTAAAGCTCGAGCGAGGATATAATTTTGTTATCTATTCTCTAATCTGTTCTAAAGTAAACATATGTATTTTATGAAAGGTTTATTGGCGAAGAAAGCACTTCCTCAGGACAAAAAATAGAATTAACGAATGCTCCAACATGGATAATCGATCCTATCGACGGCACGATGAATTTCGTTCACGGTTTACCATATACATGCATCTCGGTTGCGCTACTTATTAATAAAATAACGGAAATAGGAATAGTATATAATCCAATTTTGGAGCAACTTTTCACCGCTCGCAAAGGTCAGGGCGCTTTTCTCAATGGTGCTCCGATTCATGTATCCAATGAAAAGGGTAATTTCTCTAATATTTTTCATTAGAAATAAAGTATATATTGATAGGATTATATATATAATATCCTTCCGATAGATCTTTATAGTTAAGTGTTTATATATTCGCTCAAAATATTTAATAAAATGTTTTGTTAATACTTTAATCATAAACTCGATTATATGTAGTATGGATAATTATTAAAACGAACATTTCCAAACGATTAGTAAATTGAAATACATATATCTTATGGTATTATACGTAGTATCTAAAAGATAATCCTGCATTTGCTTCAAATTTTGAAAATCTTTTTCATATCACTATACGCAACTATTTAAATTTTAGTACAAAAATTCCAATATATACAACATATAAATCAATATTTTTAATATATAATTCGACAGCCTTTCTAATTATTTTGTTAAATTTAATTAACTGTCATTACTCTAGAATTGCGTAAGGCATTAGTAATGTTAGAAGTGGGAACTAGTAGAGATCCAGAAAAATTGAAAATAGTCCTACAAAATATAACGCTCCTTATACCACATGTACACGGGTAAGACACATTTACAGGATACAATTTCTAATTTTGTATGTGCAAAGAGATTTATTTATTTATTTATTTACTTATCCTACAGAATACGATCGTTTGGTGCTGCAGCTCTGAATATGTGCATGGTGGCTCTTGGTAGTGTTGACGCTTTTTTTGAATTTGGTATACATGCGTGGGATGTTGCAGCCGGAGATCTTATTGTTCGAGAAGCTGGCGGTGTGTCAATAGATCCAGCTGGTAAACAATTACAAACATTATGTATCAGTCACAGTCAAATAAGAGATACGATATAAGATGGAAATAAACGCCAAAGTAACGCAAAACTAATTCATTTTGTTTTTACGCGTTAAAAGGAGGCCCATTTGACGTGATGAGCAGAAGAACATTGTGCGCATCATCGATGGAATTAGCTCAACAACTTTCCAAAATATTAATCCAATATTATCCAGAACGAGATTAAGAAGCATAAAAGCTTCATGTGGAAGATGAAGAAAAATCATTTTTATGGATATCGGATTAGGCACTAAAAATAATGCAAATATTACCTAAAAGAAAAAAATGTAAATTCAAATTAGGTGACTATATGTAAAACATATATTGTTGTGATTTTTATATTTAGAAAATATCAATGAAATTATTAATTTCTTTAAACCATTTAAACTGCACAGTGTATTAAGAAATAAATTGATGAATTTATTCACTTGTGACATGCAACCAACTATATTGGTACATTGTTATATATAGACGAAAAAAATAACAAATTGCTTATTAATTATATAATGTAGCATATTTTTTTTAAAGAGATTTAAAATGGTATTACTTTTATTGTTCTTATTTTGTGATATATTATGTGTACAATTATTATATACATGTAATAATATAATAAAATGATTCTTGAGAAAAATTTAGGGAATGTATTAATGTATGATAGAATCATTGTTTTCTGTATTTTTCTGTATATTTTTCAATAAAATGATATATAACTTGTTACTTGATACAAAGATATCTTCTTATATCATAAACCTCCTGCTTCCAAAGATATATTTTCTAAAATCGAGAAAAACAATGTTATTATAAAAAAAATAATTATATTTATAAATTTATTAGATTTTATTCACATTAAAATATTTCTACATATTTTCTGAGTATTTAAAAAATAATGTGAAAGTGAGTGAGTAAATGAATGAGAGAGTGTGTGTACGTGTATATGAAAGAAAAGGAGGGGAAAAAAGGAAATGAAAGGAACAGAAAAAGAGCAAGCTAGTGTTTCGAAAATAATGTATTTATAGCATCTGCTTTTTCATTTTCATCGAGTGTGACCTTTAAATATCTAAAAACTCAAGAAAATCGCAAATATTAATATTATATAAAATTTTAATTTTTGCAACTGAACAGTTTAGTTTTCAATTAATATAATTTTTGAAAGAAAAAAGTATAAATGTATCATTTATATTCATGATAAATGTCACGTGAAAATTTCATAATCATGTACTTTACCTGTATACATACTTACGAGTCCTTCATTGTAATCTCAAGCAACTTTAAGAGAAACCTTAGCGCGCGGATATAAATCTAGTTAAACCTTCTATAAACCTTGTTGAACTGTGTTTAGTGACAGTGCATGTACTTTTACGCAGTAGACACGACAGTAGGCGCAAGTACATCGCATTTTTCCTTTCCTCCTCATCAATTGTTTTCATCACCTCTTCCATTGCCTCCCCTCCTCACAGGGAGGGCTACAAGTGAAACATTACCAAATTGCCAATTAGAACGATACATATATTCTCTTTAATTATAGTTTCATAGTATATTTTTACTTCTGTATTGAAACATTCCCGTAATATATATTTTTTAAGGAAAAAAGAACGGCAAATATGAGTTTAGCATGATAATGAAAGCGCGATTAAAATAAAACAATTATTAATATTCTTCAGGCTTCCACGGGTGCTTTCTATATAAAAGTTATGCGTTTCGTGGGTTTCCTCCGTGTCCAGATCCATTCTTGGAATGCCAATGTTTCGTGAACCTTGCAGTCCACTTCATTAGGACGAGGAGCAACCTGATACACGTTTACGAAACATTGGCATTCCAAGAATGGATCTGGACACGGAGGAAATCCGCGGAACGCATAACTTTTATATAAAACAATTGTTTAGAAGTAAATAGTTTAAATAAACGTTTTGACTTTTCTTGGAGTCATGCTCAGCTTACAATCGACGATGCACAGATATTCATATCTGTGAAAAATCTTTGTTAGAGGAATACTATGTCAGAAACGTATGGACTACAAGGCTTGAAGTAAATTAGTGAACATATATTCAGGTCAACATTTAGAAGTGGAATATATTCAGTAACAATACTCTAGGCCTTGTAGTCATATGTTTCTGAATGTACATTGTCAACTATGAATTGAAGATGACTAAGAAAAAATTGAAATTTTCTATTAAACTATTTATATTTTTATTTTATTTCTAAAAATCATATTATTTTAATCACACTTCAATTACTGCGTGAAATTCATATTTACCGATTTTTTTCTTCATGTTTAATATCGTAAATCGTAATATTTATTGAACATATATCTTTTTCTGTTTTCATCATTTATCGATATTTTATTACATTGTCTTTTCTTGAAACAAAAATACTAAAACACGTATCGCGTATTAACTATCTTTATTAAAAAAAAAAATGCAAATATTCAAACGTTATTGCAATTATTTATGAGATTTAGGAAACTTGATCGAAATTCTATTATACTTCGCCTCAAATAAAATGCCTATATTGTTATGAAAAGTTCATTACACATTTTCAAAACTCAAATTATTTTCGTAGGGCTTATGACTTCAGAATTAAACGGTTCTGAACATATATTGAAAAGTAGTTGCGCTAAATATCCCAGGCAATTCCCCATGAATACCTTGTAACGGGATCGGCGCTAAAGGCCCTTGAAAGGTCCGGTCGCACTTAACGATGTTTGAATCGAAGACACATCTGAAACATAAGCAGTCTCGTATAATCTTGTCACATTCAAGATCACACCGTGAACCATTCACAACAGCATCGATATTCAGTTCTAATTTCAAATAACTACAATAAATTTTCGAATTTAGAATTAGCGATTTTAAGAATTTGTGAAGAAGTATAAAAAAATCAGAAATCGAAGTGTTGTACTTGCAGCAATAAGATTCTTACTTAACACAGATTGCAACAAGTAACGTTTTAATAATAATTATTTTGCATATAACACCTTGATGACCGCCTTTATCTTTAAATTTTGCATCGTGATGTAGCAAATATATATATTTTTATTTCTATTTAGCATTAATATAAATATGTTTGATTATATATATCATATTGTAGAAATATAAGATAGTATTATTTGTATGTACGTATATATATATATAGTATATGCATTTTTTTGCGTTTACTATTACACATATGTCGGCCGATGTACAAACATATATGCACATGATGTGTCGCGTGTGTGTGCGTGTGTGTGTGTGAGTGAATGAGAGAGAGAGATACATACATATATATGTATGTATGTGTGCGTGTATGTCTATTATCATTACATAAAGCAAGATTCATTAAATATTTAATCTGGAACGCTTTTTAAATTTTAAAGATAAAAATGAAGAAAAAACAGAGGCAGAGAGAATTAGAAAAAGAGAGAAAAATATTAATAAGAATATTATAATACTTGGACTGAACATATTCACTCACATGATTTAAGATTGAAAAGACAAAATGCAGGTCATTCTTCTCATTGTATTAAGCATGTGTCGTTTTATTTCAATATAACTGACCTATTCACTATACAATTTATCTTCCAATTAAAACAGATTTTTTTGCCACTAAGGCTTCTAATGCTGTATATGCACGTATGCTCGCTGATGGGATACTCTAAAATGGATCGAACAATATGTGATCCATCCAAGGGACTTACAGTTCTTTATATATACGAACCTTTCTCTCGCTTTGTGAGAATACGTAACGTACAATTTCAAGGACGCATGATCTATAATCATTTCAAAGATGCTATTCGTAAGGACGTCTTGCTCTCCAGATCAGGAGAATTAGAAAAAGAAAACTGTACCAGTTTATGCTGAAAGAGGCGGTCGTCGTTTTTTAATTCCATTTTCTTTCTAAATAACGTAACTATGGAAATCGACAAGTTCTATTTTAAACAGGAAAATTGGTATCTATAACTCGAATTATTTCCAGATACGTGTTACAACACAGACTAATCTATATTAGAGATACTATCTATACATAATGGTGGAATTTATTCACATTATTATTGTATTCACAATTATTACATCGAGTATAAAAATATTATACTCTATCCATCTGACAAGAATTACACGCAATTAAATAATACCTTCGGATTCATACAGTATTGCTCATGGCGTACGGTTTTGTGCAACATTACAACTATATTTTCCCTCTGTTGCAAAACGCTCACATTTTTTTGCACCGCCTCTTCCTGCTAAACAAAAAAGAAAAAAAAAAAGAAAAAATACGAATATTCTATATGTAAAAACAAAAGTATTTGGGGAGGGAGAAACAAGCATGAAAGAGACAGAGAAATAGAGAGAGACACATCGCGCTTCTATCAAATGACGTTTAACATTAATAGAAAGGATTGTTAACGGCATAATTTTACAAAGTTACGTCAGTGAATTTTTCGAAGCTAAAGGACCCCGGACAGGGTTACCTATATCTTTTCTTGTATAAAGGGATGCGCCAGAGCGTGATTCACAGTGATTCTCTTCCCTGCATCCAACATCAATGTTCGTTCCAGCAAATCCTTTAGTTGTCCGACTTTGCGATTTTGTTCCGGTGGTAAAGAATTTCCACCGAGTTCTGCGCTGAGATCTCGAGTGGCTGGTAACGTCGACATTACAACGACTTTTTCCTGGAAAACATACTAATCAGCAAACATTGCACGTACGGCAAATATTTATTTTCATAAATACATATAAAGAACATTACGGTACAGCGTTGTCAACTGATACGTTGTATTTCTTCTGTTTCCACATTCCGCGCATAAAGTAATATTATTTACAGTGCTGCGTTGCGCGACTTAAGATTTAAGATTTTATCATGGCAACTTAAGATCTTATTATGGAAAATAATAAAATAGACTCACCCGTTCAGTAACTTTATCAACTTCGTGATATAGAAAATTGCAGTTGCTGTCAAAATGCTGATCCTTGAATGATCCTTTTCTAATTAGCTTGTTTGGCATTTTGCCCTTTAGATCCATGAAGTACTTTAACATTTGATTATTCGTTTTCCCCGAAAACATTATTTTTCCCGTGTATAATTCATATATGGTACATCCCACAGACCACATGTCAATACCAAAATCATATGGTATACCAAGAACTAGAAAATAACGATATTACTTTCGATTCTAGACATTCGATTCCAGATACAATTTCATTTTTTCAATGTCGAAAATTCAGCCCAACTAATTTATAATGCACGTATATCATAAATTTTTTTCGATTTTCAGTGAAATAATATATGTTATGATAGCAATTAGCCAAGTTTTTTTATTGCAAAAAATTTGTAACTATACGCGTACATAGATGAGAGCACACACATAAACATCTTACGATTCTCATTAAACTGCCTATTTCAATTTAGCGCAAAATGAAATCAAAGCTAATATTTGCGAAGTCGTTGTACGTAGTTCACTAAGATTGCCAATCAAGCCAATATTGCGAGATATAAATCAGAATGTAACGAATTTAGTCGAAGATTAACAATGCTAACGTACATATCGTTAATTAAAAAGATATTGACATGTTTTACATCTGCATATATTAGAAACAATTATGGTAATATACGACATTGCTTTCGTGTATAAATACGGAACAAAATTGCGTTTATAAATAATATTAATATTAATCGAAAAATCCTCTACCATTTTGCTATTTTTGCAATAGAGAGAGAGTTATCGAGATATTAATTAATAAAGATCGCTAAATAGCACGACCTATCGCCAAATACAGGCGTGTGACGAGATAGAACCATGATGGAAGAAACTTCCATCATGTTTACTATCACGACGGAATTACATAAACAAAATTAATTCTGCCATGATTTACTACAAGTAATCTTGGCAACGCATGAGCGGCGAAAGAAAACATCTCTCTGCGCTAGACGATTGCATAAGCTGTGTTTCAAAATTAACGTTTACGTGCACTATAGGTATTCAGTACTAGCAATAAATTTTGGAACACAGCTATGCTATAGTAGGCGCCCATGATTACCAAGGGCGGTCGTATCATGCCGCACGTTTGCATTTGGCGATACGACCGTAAATATTAGTGCTTATTTAGCGGTCTTTAAAAATTAATATCTCAGTAACTGACTACGTTTACATGACTCGATTTACCGAAGCTAATAACATCGATGTTCTAAAACTGGCTAATCATAACTATTCCTCTGAAAAATAGAATGACTGTGATTGGTCAATTTCATAAAATCGAGCCGTAACATAGTCCATAAAGTAAAAATTGCAAAACAGTAGAGGACTTTTCGATTCAGTTTAGTCCACTTTATCTACCCATGAACGATTATTACATTTAATATCAAATACCCTGTATACATATATGTATACATATTTTTGGTAATATATGTACATATATGAAAGATCAAATAGCAATAATTAGATTTTGTAACGAAGTAAAATACTTACTAATTTCGGGTGCACGATAAAACCTCGAAACTAAGTATGGTGTTATTTCATTTTCGTGAGCGTGTGATGCGGAGCCAAAATCACAGAGTTTCAGTACTAGTTTACTTTCACTGACTAGAATATTATCCGGTTTGATGTCAGCATGCAGAATATTCGCACGTTTTAATAACTTTAGTGCTAGAAAAAGTTGCTGCGTATACGATCTTACCGCTTTAACGTGTAAGCCAACGTCTTTGCCATATTTCTTTAAAACCTGCCCAACAAACATAATTATCGCGATTTAATCATTCTAGATATTGTAAATTTTATACAAATAAACATATACACATACCTCTCTTAAATTCATAGCTAAAGGTTCAAAAACCATACACAAATGATTTTTGTGAAAAAAATGCCTAAATAGTCGCAAGCAATGAAATCTATCTTCCGGATCAGCGTCATTCAGCTTTCTAAGAATTTCTAGTTCCTTTAAACCAGTTCTGTGCCTGTAAGAGTGAAAACAATATTATATACTGCGATCGACTCAAAATCGGAAATGTATTATGCTTACATTATTTCGTTGTTCCTTATAATCTTCACAGCTACGTCCAAATTTCCTCTAGCGCTGTCTCTTGCTCTTACTACGTTACTAAATACTCCTTGACCTGTATATCCATAGACTACGTATCGTGCATCTAGCGTTTCTCCAACACGTACTCTGAGAAACAAATTATATCATTATTATTAGTTTTCAACCTCATCATTAGTTTTTAAATTAAAACAATGATATAGGACAAAGAATATATAACTAACCGATAATATCCTTCGGCATCGTCCCAATTATCTGTCAAACTAGGATTGTCTGGTCCTCCTTGACGTTTTCCTTCAAGCGTAGGACTCTGGATAATAAGAAATTAAAGGTAAAAAATAATAAAAAATTTAAGATAAAAGATAATAAGATTTAGAGAGCAAAGATCAAAATAAACATGTTAATAAAGAGAAAAGTCAAATAAAATAAAACATACGTTAAAATCACCAATATTATCTGCTTCTGCGAACATGTCCCATTCGTTCGATTTTTTTGAAGTTTGCTTTTCTTCTTGTTTAAACCTTTCAGACATTTTCCCAGTTTTGTCAGGCTCATTAAGTGGTGTGTCCTCAAATCTGGACTTTCTTTTTTTGGCTGGAGGCGGAGATTCTAGTTTTTCTGTGGGCAGTGGTGGAGTATGGCTCTCCAAAATGGATTCATTATTATTAGATGGTATATCTACAGATTTTTGCGATATATTAGATTGGCTTTCTGGAGAACCAACGACATTAATGTCGGCAGACATATTTGAATCTTCATTTGGTCCACTTAATCTCTGTAGATAGAAAAAGATGTACATTGTGGTTATGGCCAATAATCAAGTAACATGTATTTAACGGACATATGTATGACATTGACGAGAACATGTATTACTTACTTTGAGCAATTCTTCTCTTTGTTTTCGTCGACGTTCTATTATAGCTTCCTCATCTTCTTCTTCTTCGATATCGATATCTTTGATGTCCTCTTCACTCGAACTATCTGAATGTTCTACTTTAAGACCTTCCGATAAAGAATCCTTATACTTATCATTGCGTTCTCGCTTGCTATTTCTGTCTCTATCCTTCTCACGATCTCTAATATGATCTCTGATTTGTTTGTCTCGATCTCTATGACTTCGAGAAAGAGATCTGGATCTTTTATACCGATCGTTTCGTTCTCTTTCTGATCTGTTTCGAGTAGGGCTACGTGATCTTCTTGCAGTACTGCGAGATCGATCTTCGAGTCGATGATCGTGGTACCGGATGTCTCGTCGATCACGACTACCGTCATGTCGATCTCTATTTCCATACCGATCCTTGCTTTTGCTATCCCTTTTGTCGCGACTAGCATGACGACGAGGCTCTCTGCTAGATAATCTATCACGACTGCGTCGATCGTGACTAATGTGACGATCTCGGCTGTTTTGACGTTCGCGACTTGCCAATCTGTCGCGGCTTTTATTATCTGAACTTTTTGTTTCGTTATTAGTTTTTAAACTATGACGGGAAGATTGCTCTCGTTTTCGATTTTCTTCTCTATATACATTAATAGTTAATATAATACTATTTCAACATATTTTTTAAAATAAATTACATTAAATAACGAATAGCAGTAATAATAATAATAATTTTCCTTACTTACCGTCTATCTGATTCTTTTTTCCGTGTCTCATCCCTTCTTGATGACAGATCCTTACGTTTCTGCTGATCATCGTCAACTTTTCTGTTGGATTCGTCTTTTCTCGTTTCTTCTTTCTGCCTTTCACTAGTTTTTCGCGAAGATCTATCATCTCTTCGAATTTCTTCTCTTTTTCCTTCTTCTTTAAAGCGGATTTTCTCATCTCTTTTCCTGTCAAAATCTCTTTTCTTATCTTTATGCTGTTCACGAATTTTTCTGTCTCTAGTCATATCAACTATAACACGTCTTTCGATTTTTATCACTTTCTTACGTTCTCTACTGCCTGATTTACTTCTACCTCGTTTCTTCGGTAGTATATCATTAGTATCGCTATCATCTTCCACAAGTATTACATCAGGCGTTTCCATAATTGTTTTTGTTTCTTCTTCTTCCTCTTCTTGTAATTCTTTATCTTCACCCTTTTCAGATTCATCCGAGAGATATTGTACTAAACATGCTTGCAATCGTTCCTACACATTGTACAATTACAGTAAGTACAAATATTCATGCAATTACAGTAAGTACAAATATTCATGAAGATATTTCATTACCACTGATTACGCATAAAATGTATATGCTGGTATTGTATTTTAAAATTATACACATATATATATTCATAAATATCTGGTCACACATATTATAACATGATATAGCATATTTTATAGTGAAAAAGGACAAGTATTTTTTTTTTAATTTATTATAATATAAAAAGTAAAAGAGATCTAAATGATATGTACCTATATTCATAATATAATTTTCTCATGTTTTGAATTAGGATTCTGCATATTTTTATGTAATTAAGAACTCTATATTGCACATACTATAAATATGTATGAATTGTGTGTGTGTGTGTGTGTGTACACATCATAATCTAGAATTATTCTAACTAATCATAAAAATATTTATGTACCTTTTGTTTCATTAATTCTTCGAGATCAATATCATCTTCTATGATTGTACAATCCACTTCGTCAGAATCAAGATCTATCAATTTTTCATCTTCACTTTCTTCTGTAGAAACAACTTCTAATACAGAAGTTTTTGTTTTTCCATTCATATCAATTTCTTTATGCACTATATTGGAGTTTATTTTCTCCTCTATAGTACCATTTTCCATATTTCTATCTCTTTTCTGTCTTTTGTGTTTTTTATGTTTTCGTCTACAAAAAGGTATAATTATAATTATAATTTTAATTGTAATCAATGTATCGCTTAGTTATATTGGATGTTTTCCAGAAAGAATAGGGTAACATAGTGAATCATTAAATCCTTGTTGTTTGTCAACATTAAATAAAGATGAAATAATTCACATTACACTACGTTCATCTAAAAAATATCCATTACCTTTCTTGCTTATCCAATCGTTCATCGTCTCTTTCAATTAATTTTTCCTTCTTATGCTTATGATGCTTATGTTTTCTTTTTTTTTTCTTTCTTTGATCAATTACTCCATCTGCATCAGAATCTAATCCTAAAGATTCTCGTTTACACTCAGGACCTTCTAAATCTGATGTGCTGCAATTATGTGTTGAAATAAATATCTTGGTAAAATAATTTTTCATGATAGAAAGAGAATATATTCATTTTTCTCCATTCTTTCATCAAATCGAGATCAAATTTCTTTCTGTTGCTAATACAATATTAAATTAAGTTTTTGTATAATTTACTTACCCCATAATGAAACTTTAGTAAATAATTAATAGATGAAACATAAAATCACTACACAGAGCAATTCCAACGATCCAAATGATTACAATGACCGCAATCAATAATGATCCGTAACAAACGCACAAATACAGGAATGTCTCAGTGAGACGCCATTTTACAAGTTCTATCCATGGTGAAAAGTAGAACTGGTAGATAGTGATGGAAGAAGCCAACTGCCCAAGATGCTATTGCGCATACATACATCAGCAATATCAGCATACATTTTCTAAAGCCCAAAACACATTCGCCAGTGTCATTGACGCTTCTGATTGGCTATCGTGAATTCAAATGTAAATGCGATTTGCGTGCTGCGACTTATCTAGGCTAGAGACTCTTTATGCTTGGTCCACAACCTTACTTTAAGTGACCATAAGCAGTAAGGGTGAAATCACACAGTGCGGAAAACGACTGCAGAATAAAGAATGCATAGAAGCGACTAATCAGCGTTTTTCTACGTTATTCCGAATAGGTAATTGATTGTTTTAATGACGCATTCTCTATTCCGCAGTTCTTTTCCGCACCGTGTGATTTCACCCTAAGCTTTATGGCTTCCGCTGGACGTGGAAACGCTTGCCGCACATATGTGCCGGTCGGAGTGTAGGAAATGATTAGTCACAGTCGAGTATTTCCATCGTATAGTCAAATAGAAGGGAAATGCTTGACTGTGATTGGTTAGTTCTGCACTCTGACTCAACTCTAACCTCGGTGGAAACTTAGGCTATTTTCACATGCAGTGAAACTTGCGTAAACGTAACTTGCGTTAACTAATCAAATCGTATCAAATTGTATCAGCTACTACGCATTATTCTAGTTGAGACGATTTGTCTTTGACTGACGCAAGTTACGCTTAGGCAAGTTATGCTGCATGTGAAAGTATCATTAATCTAAAAAAAAGTGAACAAATA